AAAGCTTTAGATTTAATTCTCATTATAAGTTCAATAATTAATCATTAAGCCTTATATATCAACAACAAGTATTTGTTGAGTTGGCTTAAGGAATGCGCTATAATTTTATGATTATAAAATGTCAATAAATAAGTTAATTGAAATATATATTATATCGAACATAATAAAAGATTAATTTTTAATAATTATTTATATATATACTAAAGTTTCTTCATTAATTTAAACCCGGTTTACTTGAGGATCTATATCAATTAAAATATATTTGATTAAAGAATGAATATTTGATTCTTTTCAAAAAATATTGATAAGAACATTTCGTCTTCAGAATATTTGGCATTTCTTATTACTTTAAATAAAATTAAATAAATTTATTTATAAGAGCTACTTCATAACTTACATAGTTTTTTCTATATAGCCTCCTTATCATTGAATCCTAGTTAAATTGCCTGCGAATAACATTCTTAAGCTTCTCCTTTCTTCCCTTATTGAAATAGTGAATCGCCTAAAAAGGAAAAATGAATTTACCTTTTCTTTTTAATCTTATTGGATTAAGTGAAATTGTAAGAGCTTTGTCATAACAAAAAATGGCATCAGTATATTTTTTTAATTTGTGTAGTGTAACGCCTTAATTAGAATCTAATATACCTTTATTACTCCATGCTGTTTCACACTTTGGATTAATTTAAATAGCTTTATCGTAACATTAGATTGCTAATTAATAATTTTTCTACTACTATAATGCCAACCCTTAATATTGATATTTGAAGATTAATAACCTTTGTTGCTCTATGGACAATCAAAATTAGGATTAATTGAAATAGCTTTGTCGTAACATTCGATTGCTTCTTAAAAATTACGTTACTAGTGTAATGCCCATCCTATATATAACTATATAATAATATCAACCTTTACAATTCCATGCTCTAAAATGTTTAGGATCAATCTAAATTACTTTTTCGTAGCATTCAATTGCCACTTTCTAATTATTTAAATGTTGTAATCCTAATCCTAAGAATAATAAGAAAATTACAGTACCTTTATTATACCATGCTTTAACAAATAAAGGATCTATTGTAATAGCTTTGTTGTAACATTCGATGGCCTCTTAATATAAATTCAATTTGATTAGTGACAATCCTGAAAAATAATATGAAGTAATAAGTACCTTTATTATTCCAAGCTTTTTAATTTTTAGGATTTATAGAAATAGCTTTAATATAACATTGGATTGCTTCCTCACTTTTATTTAAATGATGTAATGCCCATCCTAAATATTGAAAATATTTCTTCTACCCATATTATTCCATACGAAATCAAAGTTAGGATTTAATTCAATAGCTTTTTTGTAACATTCAATTGCGCTTTAAAATTAATGCACATTCTGTAGTGCCAATCCTAAATAGGAATATTAAACCATTATTCACCTTAATTATTCCATGCTTCATTAAAATTTGAATTTAATAAAGTAGCATGCCTAAAACATACAATTGCATCTTCATATTTCTCCAAATTATTTAAAGCCAATCCTAAATATTTATATTTAACAATTAAGTACCTTTATTATTCCATGGTTAATCAAAATTAGGATTTATTGAAATAGCTTTATCATAACATATTATTGCTTTTTAATAGTTATTTATTTTGTGTAATGATAATCCTAAATAAAAGCTTTAAGAATAAATTACCCATATTATTGAATGCTTAATCAAATAACGGATTGATTAAAATAGCTTTATCATAGCACTCTATAGCTTCCAAATATTTATTCAAATTGTGTAGCACTAATCCTTTATTATTCCATGGTTAATCAAAATTAGGATTTATTGAAATAGCTTTTTCATAAAATATTATTGCTTCTTAATAATTATTTAATTTGTGTAGCGATAATCCTAGATAAAAGCTTTAAGAATAAATTACCCATATTATTGAATGCTCTCTCATAATAGGGATTGATTTCAATAGCTTTCTCATAACATTCAATTGCTTCTTAATATTTATTTAAATTGTATAAAGAAACTCCTAAATAAAAATTCGAGAAATAAAATACCCATATTATTAAATGCGTACTCAAAATCAGGATTAATCACGATGGCTTCTTCATAGCATTTAATAGCTTTCTAATACTTATACAATTTTTCTAGTGACAATCCTAAAAAATGTGGTTCAAAGTTAAATTACCCATATTATTTAATGCGTATTCAAAATATGGATTTATTAGAATTGCTCTTTGATAGCATTCAACTGCTTCCTAATATTTATTTAAATTGTGTAATGCCAATCCTAAATATTAATATGTAACAATTTTTACCTTTATTATTCCATGCTTCACAAAAATCTGGATTTATTAAAATAGCTTAGCTATAACATTCAATTGCTTCTTAATATTTCTTCAAATTATGTAATGACAATCCTAAATATTTTATTTAACAATTAAGTACCTCTATTATTCCATGTATAATCAAAATCTGGATTTATTGCAATAGCTTATATAAAACATTCAATTGCTTATTAATATTTACTCAGGTTCTTTAATGCCAAGCCTAAATATTTATGATCTTCAAATAATACCCTTATAATTCCATGCACTAAAACATTAAGGATTCAATTAAATAGCTTTTTCAAAACATTCAATAGCTTCTTAATATTTATTCAAATTCTGTAACGACAAACCTTATAAGATTTTTCATTTAAATACCCTTATTCTACCATGCTATATCATAATTTGAATGTATTAAAATAGCATTATCGAAACATTCAATAGCTTCTAAATATTATTTCAATTCTTTTAATGCTAATCCTAAAATTAAATTGTCGGAAGAATATTTACCTTTATAATTCCAAGCCTTTTTATATCTTGGATTTATTTCAATTGCTTTGTTGATGCAGTCAATTCCTTCTTAATATCTATTCAAATTAATTAATTCCCATCCTAAGTATAATAATTATGTACCCTTATTATTCCATGCTCTAAATTATTTAGGATTAGTTAGAATGGCTTTGTCGTAACATTCAATTGCTTCTTAATATTTATTCAAATTATGTAATGCTAGTCCTACATAATGATGATTATCAATTCAGTACCTTTATTATTCCATGCGGAATCAAAGTTAGAATTTAATGCAATAGCTTTGTCGTAACATTCAATTGCTTCTTAATATTTACACAAATTATGTAATGCGAGTCCTACATATATGATATTTATAAATTCAGCACCCTTATTATTCCACACTGAGTCAAAATATGGATTTATTGCAATAGCTCTCTCGTAAAATAAAATTGCATCTTAATATTTCTTCGAATTGTGTAACGCCAACCCTAATTTCTCATTTCATTATACCTTCCTTATATACTTCCTAAGCCTCTTAAATGCTTGGCGGTTTTTTCACTTCAACATCTATTTCAGTTTCTAGGACTTTAATAATATTTCTATCAACTGCATTAAACTAATCATGCTTTTAATCTAAATCTGTAAGTATTATCTTAACTGCATTAAGAATATTATTTAATGATATTATTAGTTTTTCTATTAAAATTTTGTATAGCAAATACATAGTTCATTATCTTTTCCATTCAAAGAAAGCTGCTTTAATATGTTTATTGAGGACTTAAAAGTAAAGAAATCTTTGTTTAGAAGTTGCTAGTTTATTTCCTTTAATTTTGTAATTTCTTTTTCTTGTATGTTAAAAATGTCCTCAAAAATCTACTAAAGTTGCGTCTTCATTATTTTTTATTATTCACTTGAGTGATTGAAGGCTTCTATGAATTCATTAATATTTTAATTCAGCTAATTTAATTGAACGCAATCATTTTAATGTCCTTAATGAATTGTTGTTAAACATTCCTTACAATATTAGGATGCATTTTAACAATATATATTCAAACAAAATCCAATTATTTCTTCATTTTTATGGTTAAGGTATTAGCACTTAAGGATTTCCATTTAAATCTTATAAAAATATAAATATTAAATAATTTTTTACTTAAACCTCAAATTATAATATAAAAAAAAATAATCTATTTGATTTGCTGACTAGTCGCATATCCTATTTAAATGCAAAAATAAACACGGAATGTTTATTTATTTGAATTCATTCATTAATTAAGTTTAGTATTAACATTCTAGATTATTGAAGAAGTTAATTAGTTAATTTCTAAATCATAGAGGAATTAGATTAATTATTTCAATTTTTTCACTGAAGAATTACAATATATTCAGGAATGATTTTAGAGGATAAATCCTATCTTTGCTTTTCTCCTCTTTCTTAAAGTCGAAGATTTGTATACCTATTAAATGATCTTTTATTTGAAACACTTCCTATCGCATATTGAAAAACAATCAACAGTTTAAGAATCAGTAATCCTAAATTATCATAGATTATATTAACTTTTTGGAACATTTGCCCATCCAAAGCAGATTTCTTCAACAATTAACTTTTAAGATAAGATAAATATCAAAAATTGTATGAAATTTTAGTTTTCTTAATTGAAATCCTTACAGCTAGAGGGTACTATTAATTTCAATATTAATAATTTAAATTTCGATAAGAAAGTTAGAATAAAAGGTTAAAAAGATCAAAATTCTGTTTATAAGATAGATCATAATATTAAAAAGTTAACATTACTAAAATTTGCACTTTAACAATTTTTAAAGATGTAAAATAATAGATGTTATTGGTTAACTTTAATTTGAATTTTAAATTTTAAATAATTTAGATTTGGCGAATAATATCTATCATAATTAATACTAATTATAATTTTTAAATAGATATCATGAATTTTTCTCAGCTGATTTCAGAACTGTGTTGGAAATTCTAAAAATCAATATACAGAAGTTGGTATTAAAAAAAAAGTAGGATAATGCTATCACAAGCAATTTTTGAATTGTCATCTCCAAAATGTACAAACTCAAATAAAAACATTTATAAAAAATCAATTTTTTATATTTAAAAATTATTAACTTATCTAGATTAAAAAAATTAGAAACCCAAAGATATTATCTTATATATTTTATGTATTATTTCTTTATAAATCAATTATTTAAGATTAAAATTTCTGGCAAAAAAATTTTATTCTATAAAAAAAGCTAAATGATCTTGTAAATTCCAAATATTTTAATGTCGCATTTTAAAGAGTATTTAAGACTCCTTAGATATTGAGCCATATCTATTTTAAATAGCGTTAAAAATATTTTGAGATCCTTATTCAGTTTATCTGCCCATCTCTATATTTTATCAAATAGTATGTGGTTAAAATGCTTGGGATCCGCTTTAAACAGTCTTTAGATTTCTAATTCACTTATAAAGGCTAAATATTGATAACTAGTGGCAACTTTATTAAAAAAAAATTGAGATGATTATAATTTGCTAATGCTCAAATAAACAAAACCTCTTGACTATCATATTGTAAAAATTTATTGAAAGACTTTATCTATTCATATTGGGTTTGGGTTTGGGTTTGGGGTTGGGGTTTGGGTTTGGGGTTGGGGTTTGGGTTTGGGGTTGGGGTTGGGGGTGG